AGGCCTGTAATACCAGCACTTTAAGCAGCTGAGGAGGGAGGATCACTTGAACCCAGGAGTTAGAGACAAGCCTGGGGCAACATGGCAAAACCCCATCTCCACAAAAAAATCAAAAAATTAGCTGGGTGTGGTGGCACATGCCTCAGGTCCCAGCTACATAGGAGGCTGAGGTGGAAGGATTGCTTGAGCCCAAAGAGATCAAGGCTGCAGTGAGCCGAGATGGCTCCACTAAACTCCAGCCTGGGCAACAGAGCGACCCTGTCTCTGCAAAAAAAAAAAAAAAAATTTTAATTAGCCAGATATGGTAGCACATACCTGTGGTTCCATCTCCTCAGGAGGCTGAGGTGAGAGGATTGCTTAAGCCCAGGAGGTAGAGGCTGCAGTGAGCCATGATTGCACCACATTGATTTGTGGTGTTCCTTTGAAAGAAAAATGACATGTTTGGGTGGAGCTGATATGAGGACACTCTGTCTATATTTAGTCCTCTGCTTGATTTTACCTTTCCCATAGAATGAAATTCTAATAATTGTTATGCCTAGAAACTAATCCATCACACTCCTTCCCACTTTTCCCTTCCCCTCCTCCAGCTGAACTGTTAAGTATGTCTCTTGCAGAGCAGCATAGTGTCTTTGCAGGGAAATAAAACGCAGCAGAGAGAGAGAAAGAAGGAGGCTATCACTATAATAGTGAGAGGTTCAGAGGGCAGCGATGGGAGGTAGTGACATTCCCAGTACCAGTGAACAGCCAAGAGACTGCCCCAAGAGAAAACACCTGGGAGAAAATACTTGGCCATCAGCAGAGCCTCCCTCCTCTTTTTCCAATCCCTTTTCCCTCTGTTTGACCCTTGATATCCCAGTGTGTATCCCTTTCTTTCCCTCTCCCACCTATGGAAACATTTTCTCTTTTAATTTGTATCTTCACTTGCCTCCTAACCCATTCATCTCTTTAACGTATTTTTTATTTCTTTAACATATTTTTCTTTCATTCCATTCCTTCCCTCTTTTCTCATCATCTCAATAATATGAGACTAAACCACAACTTTAAATGTCTTCTGTTTATTGAACATAAAGTTGGTTTCCCTACAGAATCAACAGTTCTAAAAAAGAAAATTTTTTTTTAAATTTAAGTTGTCATTTTCAGAAACAGAAAATCAATTGTGGCACATTCTCACTTCTAAGTGGGAGCTAAACAATGGGTACACATGGACATGAAGATGGAAACAGTAGACACTGGGGACTCCAGAAGGGGTAGGAAGAAAGGAACACAAGGACCGAAAAACTACCTATTGGGTACAATGTTCATTATTTGGGAGACAGGTTCACTAGAAGCCCAAACCCCAGCATCACCCAATATATTCACGTAACAAACCTGCACATGTACCCCTTGACCTAAAATAAAATAAAGTTGGCATTTTATGTCTTGCTGTTTAATTTTTAAAAACTAAAACACAAAAGCCAAGACTTCTAAATTTAGTAGGTTTTATTTTTATCACCAGGTCAGTGACTCTGTATAGAAAATAACATGTTGAAATTTAACCTTAAAAAGAGACAAGATGAAAACAATTTTTACATGGAAGATATACTTAAACATAAATCTCCTGAAAGTGAATAACACTGGGCAACAACAAAAAGAGAATGTGATTTGAAAGTAGTAAAATGCATAAGAATCAAACTAGAGATATCTATTTAACCCATGTTCTAGAAATATGTTTATATTTAAATAAGGAAAGCATAAAAATCATTTTACCAATAACTTACAATCCAGTACAGTAGAGAATGTGAAATATTTCTTATATCTCATCTATGGCTTAACTAACTGATGGCACCACCAAAGTCAGTTCCACTAACTGGCTACAAATGTCCACACAAGAATACTGCATGTCTGGAAGCCAGCACATATCTGTACTGCTTCATGGGCCAAAATGCCTCTCAGGGAATGAGAAAATATTTAAAGTCATAATGTATGATCAGTTCTTCCCACTTCACAAGTTAAATCTCTTGCTCCCTTCCAAATATTTCATGAACCTGTGTTTTTACAGAAAATGAAGTGAAAGGATTGAGGTAAATCTTCCAAAAAAAATTAAACCATTCCCCATCCAAAAAAAATTCCCAATATTCTTGATATTTCAAGTGAAAAATGTTTTAGTTGACTGACTCATCTGGAAAATTACCTCAACTTTCCCTCCAGCTGGTACACACAGTCACGGTTTTGGAAACCGATTCTAATGCTGTATTCAGAAACTAATGATGCAGAAAGAATCCCAAAGACTTCACTGAAAATCTGGGGACACATTGTAGGTCCATTCCACATTGTTATTACATTCTAAACCTTACATGTAAAAATATATAATTTCACAAATACTTAAACACTGTCTACTCCGAAAGACTCCAAAGACTCCAAAAATATTTCTTAAAAACTTTTAGTTATGGAAAAGCAGGCATAAGTAAATTTTTCTTAAAAGGAAAAAAATTTAAGTAATTGTAGTACTTTCCTTACCATTATAAAACTGTCCATTGTATTATAAGTATTACTGTATTGTAAGTTAATGGCAATAATATATTATGGTAAATAGTGCCTTGCTTCATAGCAGAAAGTACACATAAACACACACTAATTACAGATTCAGTTACACTCTGATTTTCATTGTATATGCAATAAGACAGCAGTTGCATGTTAGCTGATGCCATTCACATATTCAACCAGCTAACAATACACTGCCAGCTCATCACACACAGGTAGCCAGAGCACTTCATTGACAAGAAGAATTTATCCAGAAGCAAGTGGCAGGGTAGTTGTGGCTGCTGACTTGACTCAAGCAGCCAGCTAACAATACACTGCCTACCTGATTCAGGTCACTGCTGATTCTCGTGGCCCAGAAAGTCACCGAGGCTAAATTTGTAACATGAACACAGTGGCAGAACTCTAATCTTAATAGTCACATTAAAGAAAACTTATAGACAAAATGTATTACTTCAGGACTATAAGAAATAAAATCAATATTTGCTTGAATCTAGTCAAAAACATAAAAGGTAAACAAAAACTTTAAAATGTTCAGAATACTCACACTTAGGTTTTCCAAATTAAATGCTTGGATAATGAAGATATGTTAGTGCAGTACAAATGAATTTTAAAAGTTCCTTAACTGTAGACAGCTTACGCTTGTAATCCCAGCACTTTGGGAGGCCGAGGTTGGCTAATCCCCTGAGGTCACAAGTTCGAGACCAGCCTGGCCAACATGGTGAAACCCTGTCTCTACTAAAAATACAAAAATTAGCCCGGCATGATGGTGCTGCCTGTAATCCCAGCTACTCAGGAGTCTGAGGCATGAGAATCACTTGAGCCCGGAAGCCGGAGTTTGCAGTGAGCCGAGATTGCACCACTGCACTCCAACCTGGGCAACAAAGCAAGACTCTGTCTCAAAAAAATAAATAAAAAGTTACTTAACTATAGCTTTTCAAATCACTTCTATTTACTGATCAAAAGATTAGTTGCCTGTATTAGAAGGTAAAATATCTAGGAGTCGTGATAATACATAAGCTGGGCATGACACAAAACTGCAGCAGTGTTTGGGGGGAAGAAATCAACATTAAAGTATTTAAGAAATGTAAGGGCTTAAATGTGATTAGTTTCCTCCTACTAGAAATGACATTAGTAATCGAGTTCTGCAAATGCAATTATGTATTCAATTTAGGATGTTACCACTTGAATACAGAAATTTTTTTTTAAGAGGCAGGGTCTGGCTCTGTCCTCCAGGCTGGAGTGCAGTAGTGCAATCATAGCTCACTGCAGCCTTGAACTCCTAGGCTCAAGCGATCTTCCTGCCTCAGGCTCCCAAGTAGCTGGGACTACAAGCACAAGTCATCATGCCCAGCTAATTTTTGCAGTTTTTTTGTAAAGACAAGGTCTCCCTGTGTTGTCCAGGCTCGTCTTGAAGTCCTGGCCTCAAATGATCCTCCTGCCTCAGCCTCCCAAAGTGCTGGGATTATAGGCATGAGCCACGGTGCCTAGTTGAAACATTTACATAAGATCTAGAAAAATATATTAAAATGGTGATGGATTTGGAACTAGAATCTATGAGTACAGGTCAAAGGAAGATGAACTATTGAGCCTAGAGAGAAGCATGGTAAATGGTGACCGACATCTGAAGCAGATGAAGGCTGTTTATGAAACATGTTTCTAAAACCGTTTAAATTTGTTTCCTTTTACACTGATTACAAGAGACACTAAAGACCTTTGGGTTTGGTCTTTCAAAGAGAACAGGTAATACTTTGGATCAACTTTAAACAGCTCACGTTAAAAACCGTGGTTTATGCCACTTCTCCACATTGTCCACAAGATGGCACCATTTCCATTTCTTTGGGGGCCGTGCTTCTGAATGCAACAGAGAGGAGTACAACAAACAACTGTTAAAATTATTAACAGGGGCCAGGCCCCGTGGCTCAAGCCTGTAATCTCAGCACTTTGGGAGGCCGAGACGGGTGGATCACGAGGTCAGGAGATCGAGACCATCTTGGCTAACACGGTGAAACCCCGTCTCTACTAAAAAATACAAAAAAAACTAGCCGGGGGAGGTGGCGGAGTCCCAGCTACTCGGGGGGCTGAGATGGGAGAATGGCGTGGACCCGGGAGGCGGAGCTTGCAGTGAGCTGAGATCCGGCCACTGCACTCCAGCCTGGGCTACAGAGCGAGACTCCGTCTCAAAAAAACAAAAAAAAGTATTAACAGCCGCTAGCAATACACTGCCTACCTGACATCCCAGCTTTATCCTTTGCTGTGGAGGCAAAAACTAGAAAGAACGATTCAGATGCAAATGATTGCATTATTTTTCTGGGATCTTCAGTTTCGTAAAGAAATTTTTTTAGTATGTAATAAGATACTGTACTTAAATTCTCATATTTTCAGACCAGCTCATACTTCCTAAAAATACATTCTTTACCAAGAATTCGTTTGTTCAAGATCAGAATTAAAACAGAGAACAAGAACAAGCCCTGGACACTCACCTTGGTGGAGCTTTGACTTTTCTTCTGCTTCAGTTCTTTGGAGAGCACCCGCATGATACTTTCCTTTGAAAACACAGATAATATATTGAGAGAGAAACTATTTAGCAAAATCATAATTTCAGGTGTGGAATTTTTCTAGATCCTGTGCTTATCAGATTACACTTTTTTTTTTTTTTTTAAGGCAACTAGGCACCTTCAGAATATAACTAAATTACTTCATTCAAATGTACGACCCGGGCTTAGAGTTTGGTACCACCTCTTGGTCCTAAACAGGTATTACGAACGGGGCCTTTGACCCCGCATTAGAGACTTGGGGAGAATGCAAAACAGGGCATTACTCACCCACAGCATCTCCTCTTCGGTGCGGACCCTCCGAGGCGCGGTGCGCTCCAGTTTCCACTCCATCTCCGGCTGACTTCGCCCTGCCTGGCGTTTGGCCTCTCTCCTCGACCGCCTCTGGTTTTCTTTCCAGGTCTAAGTCAGTCTTGACGCCTAATCGTCAAACCCCTGGAGTCCCGTCCCCCAAGACCATTCTATTTCACCACCTCCCTCCAGGTCCCCCACTCCTCCCACCGCCGCTGCAAGGTGTTCCCCTGGGTACCATTTAAAAACCAGGCGGCGCGGCAGTTGGCGCGGGAATCCCCCTCGCCGCCTTCTTATTGGCCTGCGCCGCGGTGACGTCAGAGCCCAGGAGGGATTCCCCGGCGCGCGCCGCGGCCCCGCCCCTGCCGGCCCTCTCTGCGCCCCGCCCAGTCACCGCCTCCGAACTAGGCGCGCACCCGGGCGCCAAGCTTTGCCGGGAGCCGTGGCGGGTCTGCGGCTGGGCCTGGCACCGGGGGCTGCCACCGCAGTGGGAGGCAGAGGGGTTGGCGGGCTAAGAAGCGGGTTCTGGGAGTTCACAATCTTTCCATTTTCAGAACAAGAATGTTTCCTTATAACGGCCCTAATCCCTGTTTCTCGGCTCTCACTTCTCTTTGTCCAACCACACCCTGCCTTTGCAGGATCGGAGGGTGTACAGCTCTCTGGCCTCTGTCCGTTGGTAATCGCTGTGTCAGCTATTGATGTGAGGCGTGTTCGTCAGCTCTGCGTTTTCAGACAGGCAAGAAAACGTGGCAAGATTTCTATGCCGATCAAAACGGAGAGCGTTGACATATTTATGCAATAAATTATTCTCCCTGCTCTATACATTGGGAAGTGGTCAGGTCCTCTCACTCGGGCTTCTGAGCCCCGTTCCTAAGTAGGAGGTCGGTGAGAGAGGTGAAGAGGTAGTGAAAGAACCAGGACAGGCAGGACCTCATAAGGCGTGAAGGGGTCAGAAAGCTGAGCACACTGGGAACTCCGTGATAAAGGGGGAGAGGAAGATATTGAGGGTTGAGGAAGAGGTCTGCCGGGAAATGACAAGCAGCCAGATGGGCTGTGCAGCCTTAGCTACCCATCTGAGCTGCCAAGAGAGTTGTGCCATATGGCAAGAGGAGACACTGCGTCTGGGAAGCCTCTGAAAGCCTGGCAGCCTGTTTGTTCCTCCCTTGCTAACCCCCCAACCATTTTTGACATTGGATTGTATTTTGCTTTAAGTCAATGTGAGTTTGTGTGTTTTTCTGGTGAAACAGTTCATAGATACCAGATACTGACATGGGCCAGTGACCGCCCCCCAAAAAAAAAGCTAAAACTCACTCCCCTGCTTTCCTTCATACTGAAAGCAAGAAAAAGTGGCATTAGAACTAAGACCCAATCTTAGACCAGTTTTCTATGTACAAGAATAATGCTGCATAGGGTAACTTAATCTTCAAATGACATATCAAAATGTTTGATAGTCAAATAACTAGTGGATTAAAAGATCTCTAAGTTTCACCCACAAGAAGTCTATTTTCCTTGCAGTGAAGTACTCATTCCAAATTCCGGTAAATCCTTTCTGCAAACATTAAGACTAAATAGAAGTAACCTATTATTGGATGAGAGTCAGATGCATTGTTAATTTAAATGATCAGTTTTGCAAATGTCAACAAAAACTCAAAGTATATTGGAAATAATATGAAGGACATTTTATCTTTGTTCTATTTTTAAATATAGTTCACATTTAACCATTTTGTATAAACACAGAATAAAAGCAATTCAATTAATAAGCTTATAAATGCATGTAAATTGGGATTTTTAGAATCCAGTTTCTTACAAGTACTAAGAATGGTGAATTATTCATTTAGAATGCAATTGTCTGTAAAAAAAAAAATACATTTATAAATTCTGTTCTAGCCATTAATTCCACAGCATACATATACACAGCCTCCAAATGCCTTTTTTTCCCTTAGTGTAAACTAGAAAAGTATTAGTCAAGTATCTTTAGGAAGTTATTATGCAGTTGAATATTCAGATTAAATTTAAAATCAGAATGATGCAAATAGAAACTCGCCACTTGACAAATACTACAGTAATAACTGTCAAGAATACTAAAATTACCTTGCGTATGATGAGAATACTTCCCCCTATAATTAAACACAAAAATTAAAATCACAACTTTTCATTGGCCAAAACTGGCAGGGACCACCTTAACCAAGTGATCAAAGTTAACATCACCATTAATGAGACATGATGACATATTGTGCCTCATGAGAAGGACACATCACTTCTGTGATATCCTTGTCCCACAAAATGCATAAGCTTAATAGTGAGAAAATACTAGACAAACCCAAATTAAAAGACATTCCACTAAATTGGCCAGTACTCTTCAAAAGTATCATAGTCATGAATAAAGAAAGACTAAGAAACTGTCACAGATTAAAAGAAACAAGACATGCCAACTGAATGCATTGCAAGGTTCTGAATTGAATCCTGGACTAGAAAAAAGAAGACATTGGTTAGATAACTGTAGAAATTTGAATTAATCCATATCTGCACTTTAGTTAATAGAGTAGTAGTAATGTTGATTTCCTAGTTATGATTACTGTACTAGGGTTATGAAAAATGTTGAGATTTGTGAATGCTCAGTGAAGGATATAATGGAATTATTTATACTATTTTTGAAACTTTTTTCTAAGCCTGAAATTATTTCAAAATGAAAAAAAAATTAACATCGTGTGGTCATTCTAATAAAAAGCACTTTGGTAAAACTGTGTAGGGGAAAACAGAAATATCCTGTAAACATATTATCTTAATTGTTATCAAGTATGGTTTAGGAACAATGTCTAATTCAAATATTTATGTGCCTGAGAGTAGCTTTACTATCTTTAAAATGTTTCCTCTTTGAGAATGGGTTTTGCAGGAAGGATGTGACAATGAGAAAGGCTGTGAGGAAGACTCCTTGACAAAGGCCAATTCGAAGGATTTTGAGGAAAGAAAGGCGACGGGAGCGAGCAGAGGTGGAGCAGTGGAGGAAGGGAGAGAAAGTATTTGGAAAAGCTTCCCTTAACTCTCAAAGTCGCGGGTGCTGTTAGAATCTGAGTAGGTCCCTAACAATGGGAAGCAAGAGGATATTCAAGCTTCCCAAATGCGATCTCTTTTTTTTTTTTTTTTCAATTACACTTTCATTCTAAACATCAAGAATGTTAAAAATCTCAGAAATATGCCATATACATGGGCCCGCTTCAGCGGCATATGCACTGAATGTGCAATATAGCAGGTACACTCCCTTCAGTCCGCTCTCCCAACCTCCTCCTTCCCCTAGCTTCGTCAGACCCTTTTCAATCTATTTGCACGTGCACACAGAGAGTCTGGCCCTATGGATCTTCCCCCACAAATGAGATCTCATTATACTTATCATTTTTCAACTTGTTTTCTCTAATTCACTGTATTCAACTAATTTCCGAGCAATGCAAACAGGAGAGCTCCCCAACCCCAACGCCAACGGCAGGTTTGCTCGCCGCTCCGGCCCGCGGTTCCTCCCGCCGGGGTCCTGGCTGGTCCCGCGCCTTCCGCCCGCTGGCTCCGGGCTACGCCCGCGCCCGCTCCCGCCCTTAGCTTCTGCGCGCCGCCCGGCAGCCCCTGCGCGCCTACTGGGCCAAAGGGACGGTTAGGAGTTTGCTCCAACGGTCCCTGGGGCACGCGTTTCCCGCCCAGCAGGGGTTGGGGAGCGCGAGCTGGGAGTGTGAGGTAAAGCGCCACGCCGGTAGGGGCTGTTACAGCTCCAGCCTGTGCGGGACAGGCGTTAGACTGCAGAAGGGGAGAGCTTAGGATAACCGCACTCTGGTGGCGCAAGGAAGTCAGCCACGGAGAAAAAGAAAGGGAAGGAAAAACATCGTCCAAGACTGATAAACTCTCTGCTCCCCGGTGTAACGTGGCTCAGTATAGCGCATGGATGGACGAATGAAGCCCTTATAATGCAGACTATCAGCAGGGCTCCAAAAATTTAAATTGCAAAGGTTCCAGCAGTGTAAACGCCTCAATCAGAAGAGTGGTCAATAAAGTAGCACATCACCTCTGGTTACATGGCTTATTATTTTTTCAATTACAAGTAGTTCGTGTATATGCATATTTTTCTATTACTGCCTGATTTCTAAGTACAGTACAGGGTCTGTCCTTTAAAATTACTTCTCCATTCATACCCCAATGAACAAGGATAGAGGAAAAGGTTTGCCCAGCTTCACTGCATGAAAATCTTAAGATCACCTCCAACCACTTATTTCCTTTAAGGCGTTTTTCCTTTCACTTCCTCCTTAGAGTCGTTCTTGCACAGGGTAACTGCCCAAATAAGGTAGTTCCCCACCATTTTAAGGCAATGCAAGGAAAATTTTAAAATTAAATTAATTCAAATCTGTATAAAACAATGGATGAAATCAGGCATATGAAAATGATCCCCTCTCAAAGAAAAGCTGGTTCATGAATGCTCTAGACCTGAAAATCAGTTTTCACTAGATATTCTTCCAGAACTTCAAATGCAACATAATCCCAAACAGAATTGAGAATCTTTCTTTATTCTCATTCTGCCAGACCATCTATCTATTCCTCCCTCTGTGGGTCCTGTTGCCAGCATCACCATCTTCCTGGTGGAGCAGAGGTAAAGTCAGCTTTCCTTAACTCTTCCCCTTCTCCATATGTCCAAATCCAGCTATCAAAGACAGTCATTTTCCCCTCTGCTGTGTTGATTACACCTGCCCTCTTCTTAAACAATAACGATAACCTGATAACCCCCATCTATTCCTTCTCCAGTTGGTTCATTTAACATATGTCTTTGCACCCAGCAAGTGTCATGCACTATGCAAAGAAGTAGAGATCCAATAATTAAAGCCAATAAGCATTATCTTAAGCTGATCATATTTCTCCCCTGCCCCAAGTTCCTTGAAAGACCTTCTTAACACATAGAATTAAGTTCTAAGTTCTCTAATTCACATAAAACCCCTTTAGGACTTCTCTTTGCCTTTCTCTCATAATCTCCCACAACACCACCAACACCTCCTATCTTCAGATGTACCTGATACTAGTACTCTCTTGCCTTCAGGTCTTTGTTGAAGGTACCTTACTTTTGGATTGTCTTTTTTCTTTTCTCTTCCTGGCAAATTCTTACTCTCAAATTTCAGCTACCTTTTCCAAAGAGCCTTCTCAAATCAAATCATGCTAGTTGGAATTTCTTTATCTTCCCTCTGTTCCCATACCATATTGTTTGTACTTCTAGTCTGCTTACTTCCAGATTTTGTGTGTGTGTGTGTGTGTGTGTGTTATATACATTCTCCACTATAT